GCAAAGTACCAAGCTTAAGCAAACAGCCATGTTAGGAAGAGGCAAGGAGGAGGGAACACAGGATGGCTGCCTGGGAGTTGTTTAGTCCTAGGCCTCATAGAGGAAGAAGCTGAATAAATATAGTCAGACTAGAGGTCAAAGTGAAGAGAGTACTAGAAGATAAGCTTGAAGAGAAAAAGGCAACCAGAAAGGGCAGCATCTGAGAAAAGTAGAAGAGAGAGAGAGAGAGAGAAAGGTGTTTATTTCCTTCCCTCAGAGCTGGTGTGAGGAAAAAGTTTTGTGAGCTGTTTACCTCAGAGAGAGCAAAGATTTGGAAGAGAAGAGTTAAGAAGTCTAGTCAGGAACAAACAAGAAGAAAAAGCACACAAAAAAGTAAAGATTGTGACAGCACAGAAATAGAAAAAAAAAACAAATTAAAAGACAGATTTAAATTTGTAGAAAAAGGAGTTTGGTTCTATAAAGAATGACTATAGTGAAATAAAGTAATTGAGATTACAGAAATGTAGAAGTAAATATATAAAAGTAAAGAAATAAATAGACATAGAAGAGATATAGAAGACAAAGATATGAGAATATTGTAAAGTTGGACTTTCAAGAATATAGTATAGATAAAGAGCTTACAGAAGCTAGTGAGCAAAATTGTTCAATTAAGATTAATTTCCAAATTAGTAGATATATATATATTTCAGTACTTTGTGTTTATTGAAACTTGACCAGTCTGGGAGAGAGAGGGAAGAGAGAGAAAGAGAGAAATAGGAAACAGTTGTATATTTCTAGACAATGAACCACTGTTTTTCAAAAACGGAATTTTGCCAAATTTATTTTAGTTCTAAAAGTATATTTTTGAAAATCTTTGGTAACTAAGCTCAACATTTGTGACATTTCAAAATATAGTAAATTTTGATTACATAAATAGTTCATGCATTAAATCAGTCTACCATAAATGTATTTGAAAATTAATAGTTTTTTCTGTAGAACATGACCTTTAAGCAGTTTTAATAACTGACACTGGATATTTACTGTTTTATTTTTTCAATTATAGCTAAATTAATGCAGAAAATCCAAGCATATTCTGTTTTCTATTGTCTTTTTTCTTGAAAAATACCATATTTGCCATAGTAATCTTATTTTGAGGCAAATATACGTTATAAAGTGCTCTTAGCACCATTTTTGCTTTTGTGGATATATCTGGAATGTTGACAGCACGTCAACCTTGGGCATTTACCAAAAGGTCACTAGCGTGATAGGTAACCAGTCATAAAGGAGAGAGGTTATACCATACCTCACTCTAACCCTCACTTCCCAAAGGCTTTAGCTTCCCCATCTTATCTTTGTCTAGGGAATGCGCTGCTACTCACCCTTTTATTTTCTAAGAATATTTGCAGCCCTTATATGAGGCTCAGAGATAGTCTAGAATATAAAAGATATGATGGAAGCTAGCAATTTCATACATAACGGTTTTATTTTTATTAACTAAAAGAATTGGTAAAAATTCAGAATGGAAGGTGATCTTGGCATATACCAAAGCAAATATCTGCTGGCCCCTTGGGACCTCAGGACATTATGATGCATACCTATAGATGACTGTTCCTAATTACAGTGATGCCAAAGTGATAGAATATGTGTTGTGATATAATACACACACATACAGTAAGAGGTGTGGTTTGTATAGTAGCATAATGACACATATTTTTTCACACATACACATGCACTTCAGGTGTCTTTGTGCTTGGCTCACTTCATTTCCATTTAATTGCACAGGGACTTCCTAACTTTCCATTACATTGCCATGAATTTTTTAATCAATACTTCTCAGTGTATAAACAGATATAGAGAAATGTTTGATTCTTACATAATTTAAAAATTGTTTTTAACCAGTTAGCATGGGCAGAAATTCCAATCCCAAAGATGAGACTGGATTTGAACTGTGCATGCCTATTGCAAGGCTTTTCAACCAGTGGTACGGGTACCACCTGTGGTACATTGGCATCTGGCAGGTGGTATGCGACCATCCTAGAAAAGTGGTAGCGGGGGAGGGGAATGAGATGAACCGGTGGCAGTACCACACAAGCCTGAGCAAGAGATGGCTGGAGCTGCAGGGCAGTCTGGGCTTAGCGGAAGTGCCAGGATCAGTGCCGCTTTCCAGCTGATTGGCACTTTTTCGGGGCTGTCAGGGCTCAGTGGAAGCACCAGGATCAGCACCAGGCTCCAGCTGGAGTTCGGCGCTGATCCTGACACTTCTGCTGAGCCCAGAAGAAGCACCGATCAGCTGGAATGTTGCAGCATCTCCAGGGTCTTGTGATTTACATTCAGATGCTTGGCAACTGATTCATATTTATGATGGGCACAGTGTCCCAGGGTCATGTGAAGTGACCAAAACCTGCTGCAACCACCCAGCAGACGGGGGGGAGTAAAAACCAAACACCCCTCCACCCCATCCCTACTGCCAATCCTCAACAGAAATGCTCACAGCAATGAAAACCTTGGACAGGAGGAAGAGCACCACCGGGTGGGCAAGCAGGTGTCTTGCTTGGCTGTGGCTTGGGGGGGGGGCACTTTTTTCAGTGCCATTGTAACTTCAAACAGTCACTAATCAAACTGTTGTAAATTGAGAACTACCTGTACCTTATCACTTTTTCCTTTTTTTTTTTTTTTGATCATTAAGTTTTTGACACCTTGCTAGGTGACTGGTGGTATTCGGATGTTGCCATATCCTAAAAGTGGTACAATGGGTGAAAAGGTTGAAAAGCCCTGGCCTATTGCATGTAGGTAGGAGTAATCAGGATTATCTTAAGTATGTGATTTCCCAGGATTGTGAACCAGTTGAATCTACACAACTTCTTTCAATATTTCTATCAACTGTTACAAGGATGCTCTGCTAATTCCAAATCAGTTAAATCTGAACTCTGCACTACCATATTGCTACCACTATTTCTCACGTTCACAAAATTATGTTTTCTTCACATGCTTGGTGCCAGTCAATATTCAGGGACTCTGAGCTCTTCCTGCCCCTTCATCACTAGAATATTATCAGGATGAGGCAGGATTCTAGGTCATTGTTGATCATTTATTATCCATGAAATAATTGGCAAAAACAGCACCACAGTAAAGTCTCCCCCCAGTGACTTTGTAAATCTTTCTTGCTTCTACTTTCATTCTGAACTTAACATAAAAGCATCATGATATGACAGTGGTGAGAAGACTTCTTTATTATGATGCTATTTCTGTTCTTTCCTTCTTAATACTATATTTAATTTGTTTTTAGTGCATAAGATCACAGATGTTTAGCGTAAACATCAAACTATTATTGTGGTGATAGCTATAAAATATTCCTTAAGAATTACACCATTGTCCCATAGGGGCACCAAATCACAAGGGGCACCAAATCACTACAGGCTGTGAAGCAGTTACAATTCCTGTGATGTTTTCATGTTTTAGGCCTCTTATACCTTTAGTATGCTAAGAAAGGCTATCCCTATCAAAAATATCTGAAATTTCTTTAAAGTGACATTTGTGCTTAATGCTTTAGCAAAATATTGTACTTATTTTCTTTTAATATACAAGTAGTCCTTGACTTATGACTAGTCACTTAACGACTATTTGCATTTACAATATGCATGGAATGGGTGCTTAACAACCCATAAAGACACCCTCATCCATTGTAAATAATCAGACCATCCCTTCCATGGTTTCTGACTAGTTACTGCATTCTGTAGTCATGTGACTGTAATTTGCAATGTTTTTTGTCAGCTTCTAACAAAAAACGACCATGCAAATAAATGGATTTGCACTTACAACCACAATATTTGCTTAAAAAGTGCCCCATTTATTTAACAACCATTGCAAAAAAGTTTTAAAATCACTTCAAGCATGTGGGTGCCTAGACTTATGATCCTAATGATCTTGACAGACTTGAACAATGGGTCCTATCCAACAACATGAAATTTAATGTAGAGAAAAGCAAGGTTTTATACATAGGTAGGAAAAAACAAAGGCACAAGTACAGAGTAATAATAATAATAATAAAGTTGGAAGGGACCTTGGAGGTCATCTAGTCCAACCCCCTGCTCAGGCAGGAAACCCTATACCATTTCAGACAAATGGCTGTCTACTCTCTTCTTAAAAATTTCCAGTGTTGGAGCATTCACCACTTCTGGAGGCAGGTTGTTCCACTGGTTAATTGTTCTAATTGTCAGGAAGTTTCTCCTTAGTTCTAGGTTGCTTCTCTCCTTAGACGAAACCTGGATCAAAAACAGTAACTGTGAGAGGGACCTTGGAGTCCTAGTGGATGATCATTTAAATATGAGCCAGAAGTTTGCGACAGGAGCCAAAAAAGCTAGTACCATCCTTGATTGTTTAAACAGTGGCATAGAATCAAAATTAGGACTAGGGGGGACATGATAGTAGTATTCCAGTATTTGAGAAGTTGCCACAGAAAGGAGAGGATCAACTTATTTTCCAAAGCACGAGAGGGCAGGACAAGAGACAATGGAAGGAAACTAATCAAGGAGAGAAGCAACCTGGAATTAAGGAAAAACTTCCTAACAATGAGGACAATTAACCAGTGGAACAGCTTTGCTATCAGAGGTTCTGGGTGCTCGTCACTGGAGGTTTTTAAGGAGAGACTGGACAATCACTTGTATGAAATAGTATAGGGTGTCCTGCTGGAGCAGGAGGTTAGACTAGAAGACCTCAAAGGTCCCTTCCAGCTCTATTCTGATTCTGACTTATGACCAGGTTTTTAATTCCAGTTATAGTCATAAACTGAGGAGTGTCTTATGTTATATTCATATACACATTATGTTATATTCATACAAACACCTTTTTCTGTTTCAGATAACATAACATCTAGTTGACACAGCTAGCAATGTAATAATAGTTTTTGAAAATTTATGAAATAATAGATGTCTTTATATTGTAGTAAATATACTCTTCTCTTCTCTTCTCTTCTCTTCTCTTCTCTTCTCTTCTCTTCTCTTCTCTTCTCTTCTCTTCTCTAGAATTCCCAACCTGTGACCCACTGATTCATTTTATATGTAATAATGGAAGATGTATTAGTAACAAGTGGCATTGTGATACAGGTAAGAATCAACTCAACTCTAGTCACAAATAATGTTTCTGTCTAACTTTCAGGAATCTTACTCAGCTCCCCTGTATCATAGCCAATCCTGAAGTGGCTGAAAGTTTCATGTAATGGTGGTAGGAATTAGCTTTCATGTTACATGTTACCTGTTAAGTTTCATGTAATAGGTTCCATGTTAGCATCCAATCCACTATTTATACACTAGGAGTGACACAAATTGATTTCATTAAATCTTATAAAAGTGACCTAATGTTTTGAAGATAAATATGTACTAAAGAATTTTCCAATTAATCCTGTAAGTATAATGCATAGGATTATCTTATTGATTTCTGACCTTTCACTTCTGCTTGAAGATGGAAAGTGACAGAATACTATTTAAACCATTATGTCTCCTGTTAATTAAATATTTATGATATTGTATGTGCTATTTGTATATCCATCTATATACAAACCTGTTTTACTTATTTCTAATATCACTTATATCACTTATTTCTATATGCTTCTATACTTACTCCAAAAAGAAATTGATGGTGGAGCTTGATTGAACTATTCTAGTTACACCCCCCCCTATTACTATCCCACAGCTTAAAATATATATTAAATGAATGCCCTAAACCACAAAGTAAAATAAAACAATATTTATTTTACTTCACACTTAGGACTGTTGCAGAATCCCCATAGTCACATAATCAAAATTCAGATGCTTGGCAACTGGCATGTATTTATGACAGTTGCAGCGTCCTAGGATTATGTGATCACCTTTTGTGACCTACTGACAAGCAAAGTCAATGGGGAAGCCAGATTCACTTAACCACTATGTTACTAACTTAACAAGTGCAGTGATTCACTTAACAAGAACAAAAATGGCAAGAAAGGTCATAAAGAATGGCAAAACTTCATGAAAACACTCTTGCTTAGCAATGGAAATGTTGGGCTCAATTCAAGGTCCTGGTTTTAATCTTTAAAGCTCTTTCTGGCGTTGGGACCAGCTTACTAGAGAGACTGCCTCTCCCCAATTACATCAGCCTGTCCCATTCAATCTGGCAGACAAAGCAAGTTACATAAACCATCTGCCAGGTAGTTTTGTTTAGTGGTCCCAGGAGGTGGGACTTCTTACCACAGGACCTGCTCTGTGGAACATTCTCCCTTCCTATCCCAAGGTCAGCTGTACTCTGGCTATTATTTTAAGAGCTGGTTATGTTATCAGGCCTGGAGGTCCCAGGGAAGTGGAAATATTCTGAGATGATTCCATTCTGGTTGATGTTTTGATCTTTCTGTGGGGTTTGTGTATTTTAATATTTTATAATATTTCCCTTCTAAACTATGATTTTTATAATGATTGGGTTTTTAATGCACCAGTGCTTTTATTTGAGTCTTGTATATCACCAGAGTCACTTTTAGTGAGATAGCTGTCTTTATAAATATGCTAAATAAATAAATATTAATTACCCTGTCTCTAAGTCAGACATGTCAAACACAAGGCCCGGGGGCCAGCCAGGAGCCAATGTATAATTTTGTGGTGGCCATCTATGCTGAAACACATTCAGTCTTAGCTCCATAAGCCCCCCTCCAGTGGACCATGCCTTGGCACTTTCCCTGGTCCCACCTCCTTCTGCCAGAGACCCTCAGATCTATCCCACTCCTGCCCAGGCCCCCACAGGCACCCTTGATGCAAACGGTGTAGAGCTGGCCACACCCACTCAGTAGGCCACACCCATCTAGTAGGCCGCACACACCCTGGCCACACCCATCTGACCCCCTGAGGGCAACCGCAATGCTGATGTGGCCCTCAATGAAATTGAGTTTGACATCCCTGTTCTAAGTCATTGTAGTCTGCCATTGTGATCTGCCATTCAGCGAAGCCTAGCTTCTGTTTTTAATGTTATTCTAGTTGCTTTGGAGCAGAAACCAATTTGGCTTATAATTTGAGTAATATACAGAGGTCAGCAAAGTATCTTTCTCATTTGTTTCCTTTTCACAATTAAATAAAAACTTTAAAAATTGTTCATTTTGGTAAATCAGAACTTATTGTTACAATTCCATTTAAAATCTATTTACTCTCTGTACCTTCACCATCATACAAATCTTACTTTGCTGAAGTAACTCTATTCTAACTCTATACATTAACTCTATTCTGGGCTTTACAAAACTGAAGGAAATAAAAAGGTGACTCTACTGTTTCTGCTTAGTTTTAGAATATAGTAATAAATTGGACGTGAATAAAATACCCATGCATTTTTACAGATAATGACTGTGGTGATGGGAGTGATGAACTGGGCTGTCTTCATTCATGTTTTGACAACCAGTTCAGATGCTCTACTGGCCGGTGCATTCCAGGTCACTGGGCTTGTGATGGAGACAATGACTGTGGAGACTTCAGTGATGAAACTAAACCAAATTGCACCAAAGGTCAGTGTTTTATATTTCCCTCCCAACTTCTAGTAAAATGCCTATCAACTTCCAGTACAATGCTTACCTTTGTCAAATGAAATAATAGTCAGGATCATGATTTTAGCTGAGTAAGATGATTAATATAAGATTTTATTCCTACTGAATTATGGCAATATAATATACACACACATAGCAATAAATAGTGAAGATAGGAATATGTATCTGTGTGTGTAGATGTCTGGTGGTCTGGGGATCTGTGTGTGTATGTGTCATACATATATAAAACATCAGGGAATATCATTTAAGTTATAACTTGATCATAATAAAAAAATCGTTTCTAATATAAAGTGAGTGAACAATTCCATAAAGGCAGCTGTTTTTTGGTAGTGATAAAAGGGAAGCATGATAGTTTTTTTTTGTTTAAAATTAGATATTGTATTTTGTTTAAAATTAGATAGTGTATTTTACTGTCTGGGAGAGGGAAAATATTTTTCTACTATGCATGATGATGGTGGGGGGGTGCAGATAAATCATTTGAACCAGTCCTGATTTTTAAAATGACTTTGCTTTAGTTCACTAAAACAATATAACAGTGCAGTTTCAAACATATGGTTTGTAATTTGAACTATTATTAAATTAGAAGCAGAGAAAAAGAATATTATATTAAAAATTCTGCTACAGTATGTTAAATATTGTTCACAAAGGGCAAAAACAATAATATGCTGCAGGCGAGGCAAGGTGAAGAATTCAGTTCATATCAGTACACTAAAATATAGTTTCTTTCAATCTGCTTGGATGGAATGTGCATATTCAAGGATAGTCTAGGTCAGGGGTAGGCAACCTTGGCTCTTTTATGACTTGTGGACTTCAACTCCCAGAATTCCTGAGCCAGCATGGCTCAGCTTGGAAACCTCCCCTTTTCCCCTCAGCATGGCTGGCTCAGGAATTCTGGGAGTTGAAGTTCACGAGTCATAAAAGAGCCAAGGTTGCCTACCCCTGGTCTAGGTAGTTGAATGAGTTATCAATCTATAAAAACAATATACTGCATATTTTATATAGCAGTCTCTGTACTGATGATGATCCCAACTAGTATTTCCTACAGATTCCTTATTTGGTAATAATTTGTTCAAAGAGAATTTGAATTATGAAAAAATAGTGAAACTTTGGATTTTTTTTATCATACATTTTTTTTGCTAGACAAGTTATCAGATATATTTCAACAATGGTCTCAGGACTCTGAAATCTGATAAATGAACATTTTGTCCTGCTTAACACTTTTCAACACTTTCATTGAAAAAGAATATACCTGTGACTCATAGGAATAAGTACAACTTCTGAAAAGAACACAGGAATCTCTTCCTCTTTTTCTTATAGTCAATAGTATTTGATGCTTAGCCACTTTTGTTAATTTTTTGAATTGCCTACATTGAAAGGAACTGCAAAATGTTTTAGGTAACTTGTAATACTTACATATGTACAAAATATTAATAAGAGAGAGAGAGGAAGCATGTATTACAGTTTCCAAAATTCATCACCATCAGTGGCCATAAGGAGGCATCTGTATTTTCTTCTGTGTTACAGATCAACATGTTCTCCCTAATTCTGCTTCTTTTTCTCCCTCTTTCATTCCCTCTCCCCCCCTCTCTCTCCCTCTCCCTTTCTCTTGGACAGAGAGAAAGAGAGGGAAAAAGAGAGAAACAGAAGAGAGAAAACGAGGGAGGGAGGGGGAGAGAGGGTCTAATCAGCACATTGTTTTCTTCAGCATGAGCTGGTATGCATTGCTGTTCTCCCCTTAAGCATTTTTGGGGATATGCCCGCTCTGAGAGTTGTGGGATAGGCTGCATATGGTTTATTCAGGGTCACATTCCAAGAAGGAAAATGGGACAGGATTAATGCAAAAGTTGGCCCTATTCCAAGCTGTTTACTAACTGCCCTCCATCCACTTGAGATGAATTGGAGGATTTTTACTGGATTCTTTGTTCTAACTGGATTCAGTTCTTTTTTAAACCAGCAGGTTCTTCTAAAGTACTGCACCAATTTGTTTTTGTTTTGATTGTTTTCTGACAGCTATTCTTTCCTATGCTCACACAAACAGAAAGATAGATTTCTAAACCCATTGTGTAATTTCCAATAATCCATTGCTTTAGAAAAATAAAAATGCATTTTTGTGCATTCTTGCATGGAAGTACTGTAAGTCCTATTATTTTCAGTTCAATGTACACTCTAGTAACCGTAAACAGATTTTAGTAATTATTTTGCTGCTTAATGTAAACAGTCACTATACAATGCAATTCAATCCTAATTCAGTAGTTTCAGTTTCAGTGAGGATAATATGTATCTGTAGCAATTTTCAATAGCTGAAAGTTTTCAAAAATGAAAATCCTTTAATTTGAATGAAACCACTTTTTCTATTCTTGTAGTGTAGACCCAGAGATATTTTTCCTACTGTTTTCTGTAGAAGAAAATTCCAGATGTTAAAACATAACACATTTTTTCCCTTGTAACTTTTTCTCATAGTGATACTTTTAATATCAATTGAATGTCTGTTTAAATATTATTAAAACAACATAAATTGTCCATCAGTAGGTATTTATCCACAGATTATATTTTTACATGATGTTAAACTGCCATACATATCTTTTTTGGAACTCAGTTTTACAACTCTAAAAATTATGATTCAATAAATACTTTCATACAATTCAGTATGCAATGTAACATTAGATACTTAGGAGAGAAATATTTATATCCTGTCTTTCATTTTAAATGGAAAAGTACCATATGCATAAAAGAGATAAATGAGTAATATTTGAAGCTTTGGAATATGTCAGGATTGAATGTATGGTCCTCCAAATATTATTGAATGCAAATTCCTCAAAAGATATTACTTAAGTTCTACATTTATTAGTGACAGATGATATGTGTGATCTCCTATGTTCTTGTCTGGAAAGATTCCAAAGAACTGGTCTAATCACTGGTTCTTTGTCACAATGAATGGTTCTGCTTTCGTGGACACAATGTCTTTTGCAATGAAAATGTATCTTTACAACCAATTTTCACATTTATGACTATCAAATTCTAACTCCACTTCAGAATTTTTTAAATCTTTTTTACAAGCTGTGAGAATGGAAATTGAATTAGAACACATTTACAATTTGGTGTTAGATCAAGATAGATCAATATATCTTTGGTCTTGTCTTACTACTCTTACCATAAAAGTTATTTTATTCTTTTTTGTCCTTTCTTTTCCATAGGCTGAAATTCTGTCATTCATTATCTGTGATTTTGTCATTGGGGGAAAAAAATTCATTCTTCTACACTTATCACATAGAAATGTTCTCATTCTGTGAATGTCTCTTTCACCAAAGAACAATTTATAATATGATAGCTCAAATGGTTGAAATAGATATCACCATTGTAGTTCCAATTATATTTCTGCAATAAAATTCACACTGGTGCAAAACTATGAACAATATAAAATAAACTTATCCATTATAATGGAGAAGTATATATTGGCTCTGCTCACATGATTGAATTGAATAGACATATGTGTAATTAATGGGAAAAAGTCAATTATTGGAAAGTTGCTTAAGATGAAAGTGACAATTTTCATGATCTATTTTGTAGAAAGATAATAGGCACACTTACATCCTCGTATATTAATGTGTAATTGAGTCCATATGGTAAAAATATAGTTCTGCATTAGAACAGTATAATTTTTTTCCCTATATAACCAAAATGTGGTTCTTTGCAAAAAGAATACAATACTGAATATTGCTTCCTTGACTGTGTCCAAGTAGCAACTGAAGCATATTGGAAATGATACAAATTATCAAAAAAAAATTCTTAACTGGTTTTGTATTATCATTTTTTTTTAAATGTTAGAGATAGCTTCTCTTGGGAGATGCAGCAGGAAAGAATTTCAGTGCTACCCAGATGGAAACTGCATTCCTGAACTTTGGCACTGTGATGGAGAAAAGGACTGTGAAGATGGCAGTGATGAAAAGAGTTGTAATGGAACTATACGACCATGTGACGACAAAACAAAGTTTTCTTGCAAGGCTACAGGTATTAAAGGGTAACAGTTTATGCAAAGTTAAAACTACCATTTTATTGTTAGCTATTTTCCTCATTTGGCTTTGAATCAGCCTTCTTATAGTTGAAATAGAGTGGGTTTTTTTTTTACATGCTTCTTATGAAAAGAATTAAGCTATAGCTCGAAGTTTATAATTTAGGATTGTTTAGAAAACATTGTTTAGAATCTTCCCATCTTACCAACATTCTTTGCCCAACCACAGGAGAACTCTTGCCTTAGCTTGGTCATGTGTGTTATTTTCATCAGCTTTTTCACTCTCTGCCCCATCTGCTGAAAGAAGTTGTATCAATTGTCCATGTCCTTCTTCACTGTGTCTTTTATTTGGCCCATGCCTTAATTATGCTTATATTAACTAACTGCCATGGAAATTGTTTTTTTAAAAAGACTTTATCCTACTCGTTTTACCTGTTTAGTCAATTGATAATTTCTAGAGAGTTGCAAAATTCTGCTTAATTGCCATTGCAAAGTAATATAAATGCCATAAGAGTTTTAATTTTATATATTAAGCTTAACATTTTACAACAATGTATGGTATGTGATTACTGATCATAAAGAAACCCATTAATTAAAACTAATCTCTAGAAGCAGATTATGTAATGTTGAGACCATGTTTGTATTATGTTGGGAAATGTCAATAGTAAAATAAACTTCTCCATCAATTAATCACTATAAAGTGAAAATAATATTTATATAATTGGGTTTAATTTCATTATGTTTGGGACATTCTGAACCCCAGCAACTTGGTAACCAGTAACTGTAGTGCTATCATGATTCATCTTTGATATGTCCTGTAAGAAAAATGAGTTAATAAGTGCATATCATTTAATGAATGGAAAACTGATTATATTAGCACATATACATGCATATTTATTATTCAATTTATATAGCTATAAATAAAAGTTAATATAATATTCCTTAATGAATATATTTCCACAGTGTCTGCCAAACCTGTAAAAAATTGATGTGGATGTTGACCATGATGATTCTCCACATGTAGCTACCAAATACAATAACATATAGAATGGTATAGCTAGCACACTAACCATCAATTGACATTTGGCATGAAAACTTGATCAAAGCTTTGTCTGAGGATTTACTTGGTGGAAAACAGACTTTTTGTTTGTGGATTTCAAAGTCCTATCAACAATCCATGATCACATTTCTGGCATATTATAGAGAAAAAAAAGAAATAAGTTTTAACAACAGTCATGTTCCTTTCTTTCAGCCTCAGTACATGATTAGAAACAAATTGCATAATCCACTTTTACCAATATTGCACAGTGCAACATTGGTAAAATATTTTACAAAATTGATAGTCATTAATAAATTCACAGAAATATGCATCCCAGCTTTTACCTATATTGCTCTTAATTTATTACTTAGAATGATGAAAAGAGAAAAAAATACTCAGTTACCTAGTCCTAGAGCAGGGCTTTTCAACCAGTGGTACGGGTACCACCTGTGGTACATTGGTACCTAGCAGGTGGTACGCGACCATCCTAGAAAAATCATAGAGGGGGAGGGGAATGGGAGCGCTGCCAGACGGGCAGGCAGGTGTCTTGCTCGGCTGTGCCTTGGGGGTCACTTTTTTCAGTGCCATTGTAACTTCGAACAATCACTAAGCAAACTGTTGTAAGTCGAGGACTACCTGTACTTTATCATTTTTTTTCTTTTCTTTTTTTTTGGGTCAAGGTTTTGACACCTTGCTAGATGACTGGTGGTACTCAGATACTGCCATATCCTAAAAGTGGTACAATGGGTGAAAAGGTTGAAAAGCCCTGTCCTAGAGAACAATTTGGACATATCTTTTAGAACTTGAATAATAACATTCTGAAACAAGACTCTGAGAAAGTTAGAATTTATAATAGATCAGTAATCGGCCATTTGGCAACTGCTTTCTTTTCTTTCACTAGCTCCTTCTAGAAACAAAAATCAGTAATACACATCCTTAAACTTGAATCTCATAATTAGATCAAATGCAATATATGTCAATTAACTGGGTTCCCTGTTAACTGAACCCAATTCAATTGGATTGAAAATTGTTATGCTTCTAGCATTTGTTAATTCAGATGAGAAATATTTTTCTTCTTTTTTTAATATTTACCAAAGTCCATAAATTTCCCCACAAAATGGCTTGAAAGATATTGATTTTAAAAAGAAGAAATCAAAATCCTTAAGTTTAGCTATCTAGTCACATAATACAGCAGTCACATACACAATGAAAGAAATAATTTTATTTTATTTATTTTATATATTATTTTAAAATATTTAATTTTAAATTTAACTTGAACTTTAATTAAATTTAACTTTAATTTATTTTTTTATTTTTCCCAAAGAAAAAGCAGTTTTCCATCATAACCGGATTAAAAATCTCACAAAAGTTTCAGAAGATTCCCATTTGAAATGGCTTTTATTTATAGTTCCATATAGCTGTTTCCAATATATGCTTCTTCTCTCTGAAATAAAAGATTGGGAAATGGCTAACGTTGCTTCATTTGAAGTTCTATAAAATAGTGGAATTAAAAATAAATTATGAAAGAATAATTAGCCTTGTTAAGAAAAGGAATCAATATGTTTATTTTCTCTTTTCTTTAAGGGAGATGTATTAGCAAAGCTTGGCTGTGTGATGGAGACATTGATTGTGAGGATCAGTCCGATGAAGATAATTGTGAAGGCTATATGTGTGGGCCACCAAAATATCCATGTGCTAATGACACTTCCATCTGTCTGCAGCCTGAAAAGCTTTGCAATGGAATAAGAGATTGCCCTGATGGATCTGATGAAGATGATCTTTGTGGTAATTATACTTGAATAAATGCAGATGTATGAAAAATAAATAAACAATGGTCCCTAGATAATGTATCCAGACTCTTCCACCCCAGCCACATCCCTTATGTAAATTTTAATATGTTTGATAATTGAAATATTCTCATCATATCCTTATATGATTAAAATTAATGCCATGCTGAAAAATTGCTCTGCTTTCATTTTGTCCATTTTTGAAAAAAAAAAAATTCAAAGGAGAAAAATTCTAAATGTTTATATACCAAAGTTCTGAATAGAATTCAAATAATGGATGAAGTCACTTTATGTTTCAGGTGGCCAGCAGATTCCTCTTCTCTTCCCTTCCCTTCCCTTCCCTTCCCTTCCCTTCCCTTCCCTTCCCTTCCCTTCTCCTCTCCTCTCCTCTCCTCTCCTCTCCCCTGCCCTCCCCTCCCCTCCCTTTCCCTCCACTTCCCTTCTCTCCCTTCCACTTTTCCCTCCCTCCCCCCAACAATGCAGCTCTAATTTATCTGGCATTAATTGAAAATTAACAAAATTAATTGTATCAAACTACATAATTTTCCTCTTTCCGACAATATATTGGATGTTGAAACAAATTCATGCTCTGATTATGATGCATTCCCAGATTTTTTTTCATACAAATGAAAAGCATAAAGTGAACATAAAATAAACAGCAAAGCAGGGCAGCAGGTGTTAGTTCTCTTCTCTGACACATACAGAAGATTGTTATATAGCACTTGTATGGAAAGGCAGTCATGGTCGACATTTTATGCAATATATTAGTTATTTATCCCTAATAAATTTAATTTTTATTATTCCAGTTTATGAAACCATCCAGCTTGCCTTTTATTACTCTATTTTTAAACCTACAGACTTTATTATTTGTGTATGTGAACTGATTGCCAAAGAATTCTATGGTTCTGAAATATAGCTTTTATTCTGCGGTCTACTAGATCTAATCTTATAAAATATATCTGCGATAATAGATTAAATTTTAACTTATGTCTGAGAAACACATTTTCACTTGTTTTTATTTAAAAAATAATAATGATTACTATTCTTATTTCAGAAGAATGTTCACTTAATAATGGTGGATGCAGCCACCAGTGTTCAGTAGTTCCTGGAGGCAGAATTGTCTGTTCATGCCCCCCAGGACTGTACTTAAATTCAGACAATAAGACCTGTGAGTATGTAGATTATTGCACCAAACATCAGAAATGCAGCCAAGTATGTGAACAGCATAAAAATGTTGTTAAGTGCTCCTGTTATGAAGGTTGGGAACTTAGTAAAGATGGCGAAAGCTGTGCTAATATCAGTAAGTTGACATTTACTTATCTATTCACTATTACAAAGTGTCTCTTACAAACATTTTACTATGTCAAAATGACCCATTTGCTTTAGAGAAGCAGAAGGAGTCCTGGGTTGTTTAAGCTTTAACTTTTTCGATACAGATGCTTCACAATTTGTTTCTATTTAGAAGCCATAAAAATTGTATAAGATATTATGCAATGCAGAACTTGATGGTATCGAATTATATTTTTATGCAAATATTTATGTCCTGTTTTGTTTCCTTTAATAAAAAAATAACCTATACCATCAGATGTTATTTCTTATGTAAGATAAATGCCACTGAATGACAAATTTAAAAAAATATTTTTCTAAAACTTGAATTAAAAATATAGTGGTCTAGATATGAAAGTGTTTGTAGAAGCCAATATAGAAAATGGGCAGCAACAAATTAATGCCTTTCTCTGAAAGTTCATTTGTTATATCAACTTTTTTGATAACCATTTTTTAAATGCTCTTGATTCAATCTCACTGATCAGAGAAAGCATTTGACTATTTGGCTTTCTGTGTATTGGTAGATATATGTGAAATGCAATTTCATTTTTCCATTTCCACCAATAATGAAGAAATGATTCAAAAGTTGTATATATATTTTATAGAGGATAGCTACACATGAAGTATCTTCTTTAACTGTCTTTATTCTTGCAATGGTAGGGGATCACTGTTTTTGAATCTAACTGTGTAAATTTGAATTGTGCATTAAAAAGGAGGGAGGGAGGAAAGGAGCGGGGAGGAAGGAAGATGCTAACAGCCATACATACCTACTTTTTACATCATACAACATTTTACATGTAGTTCATATGCTAAATGGCGTGTTATTTGATGGCCAAGAATTTAAAAAAACATTTTGAAGACTTTTTCTTTTATTTTTCCATGTTTATTAGATATATTATTAAATTTATATCTTTAGGCTTCTATAACAAACCCATAATAAGCCCTTTTCATTTTCTTTGAATGAGTTATCATATTTATGGAGCATTTGTCATAAAAAAAATTAAGGTAAAACAATAACAGGTTAAAAAAAGGGTTGAGGTTGGTCAGTGCCTCCAAGATCTATAAAATATTAAAGACATTTGTTAAGAAAAATAATGGAATATTGGGAAGTAAAAGCTTCCCATTTTCTTATACGTGATTAGGAAGGGAATACCTGTATACTATAAAGTTAAATAAAAATAACCTTTTGCACATGTCATACAGGTATATTTTGGAATAAAAATGGTTATTATCTTCCAGTTATCAATAATTCTTCCCAATTCCTATGAACACACTCTCCAGCATATAGAGAAATCAAGCAAGAAATACATCAATAAAATTCTCTGGCTTGGTCCTGGCAGACAAGTTTGATACATGTAGTGTAATAGTTAAAGTACTAACCTAGAATTGGGAGACTTATTACTGGAATTCTTTCATAAGGGCTTCTTAGCTTTCCTACAATAAAAATCCATATTGAAAGTTCCTGGATTCTTGTGTACCTGTTTAATAGACTCCCATCTAATCTGACATTTGCTTTACTATAATAACCTATTACTGATTAGGTTTAACCACAAAATGTACTGTTATGTTCCCAGATCCTTTTGAACCATTCATCATTTTCTCTATTCGGCATGAGATCAGAAGGATTGATCTGCAGAAACGAGACTACAGCTTATTAGTTCCTGGTTTAAGAAATACAATAGCACTTGATTTTCACTTCAATCAGAGCTTACTATACTGGACAGATGTAGTAGAAGATAAAATTTACAGAGGCAAGCTTTCTGAAACTGGAGGTATGAAATGGAGTTTAGATTTTTTTTTAACTTAAGTATACAGGACTCAGGAAACATGATGAACAAGTTATAATTGGAAGTTTTTTATTATATAAATTATAAATATGTGCAAATATATTTTATTAGTTAAATGGTAAATATGTACATCAATATATACTCTAAATGAATTATATATGGGAAGTTGAATAAAATGGGGCTAAGAAAAAGGGCCTTCTCAGTGGTTGCTCCTTCCCTAAGGAATATCATTGCCACAGAAATAAGATTGGCCCCATCTTGATATTTTCTCAGAAGGATCTGAAGACATAATTTTGTCAGTAGGCTTGAGGACTTCAGGTTGATATGAAGTCGATGAAGTGATTGATTTGTTTGTGCTTGTTGCCGCTTGCAGGAGTGGTTTGGGGTTTTATATTGTGGATTTTTAATGTTGCAAGCTGCCTGGAATCAGCATTGTAAAATGGACAACTAAATAATTTTGCTAAATAAATAAATAGTTTTGAGGTTTTGGGGTTTGGTGATTGAATATTTTCTTCATGGCTTTTTTGTCTTTCTGCACAATATCTAAAAATAACAGGGGCTTTTCAAATATGTGTCACTTATGTGGTACATGCTTTTACAGATACTGCATTTAGCAGTGTGTGTGTGTGTGTGTGTGTGTGTGTGTGTGTGTGTGTGTGTATTTGTGTGTATGTGTGTATCCAATAAAAGTAAATGTGACTGAATTCATAAGGAGAATGCAATGCAATCCAAGCAACCTTCTTTCCATAGTAGATCAACAGCCATTATCTGAAATGTAGGATGAATAATGCAATAGTTATGTTTTCAGATACTAACAAATGCTTCAGCATTTGAGATACTTTTCTTTGATGAAATTTATGACAAGATCAAAACTTATAGCATTATAGCATATCTCTATCAAAGGTTGAAGAAGTGGGAATTTCTGGGATATTTCAAACACAAGCTACAGAACTGAACTTTCCAATAATGCCCTATTAATTGACTCATGTCCTTAAAAATGTAAAAATGGTATCAACAGATCTGAGATTAAAATAGATTCAAAATACATACAATGAAAAAGCTACCTGTTCCTAAAATCTTGCCTTTTGATGTGATCAAAAATGACATATGTATTCTGTATCCTTATAGATTCCGAATTAGATTCTAAATATTTTTCTGCTTAGATCATTGCTTTGAACATAGCAGCTAAAGGTAATCTTTGGGATCAATTGGCAGATTTATAATTTTGAATGTGCTGTGGTCATGCACCCAAAATGACTGCTATAGGTTAATTTGTATATTCAAAAATTGCTATTTTGCTAGTTATAGATAATCACAAAACACCTATTAACCAGGAGTTAAAATGATAATATTATTGTTTACTGTCTATTCAGTTTATATTTATATCTCTACTATTCTATTTATATTTTCTTTGAATTATCATATTTTCACGTAAGAAATATGCAAACAAAAAGGAAAGAAAAAAAGAGGAGGAACTTCTATTAGAATACTTATTATCAAGCCCAGCATGTTTCGGGCACAAGTTATTTCTTTAAGTGTTTCTTTTTTTGTATAGTTTTATATTAAAAAGCTAGATATATCAGAAAGGGAAACAATGCAATTCCTTTTTATTTCTCATACTTTGTTGTAAAATTGCCTATTACTTTTTGAAAAGCCAATTGATGTCTAGATAAAAAGTTTGAGACTTAAAAAGAAGTTTTTTGTGTGTTTTCATTTCTGTAATCTTGTATTTTGATTTTTTTCCTGTGCTATTACATGAAAAAAGTTCCAGAAAAACTGTATCCAAATGCTTTCTCTTAAAGCTTTATCCCTTCCCTCCTCAAAATGTATAAAGTGTTGGCTGATCATTGAGCTCCCTCAGTTGCTTCATCTCAGACCATTGAGGAGAGTTTTACCCTGCTGTGCTTCCCTTATTCCTTCTAACAAACATTAAACAGAAAGCATGTAAAGGATACATTCTACAGTTTTATTTTATTTTTTAATTCTTATAATAAGACTTGAATCCAGAAAAATAAAATGCATAGGAGATAAATGCAAAACACCAATAAAGGTTTGTAAGAGAAGATATGTATGTGTGTGTGTGTGTGTGTGTTTTTTTTGAGGTTTTCGCGGGTGTTTGTATGTAACACAAAATTATCCACCATCCTAAGCAACCCCAAAGACAAAATTGAGTTAGAAAATCAAGGAGTATATGAAATCCCATGCACCGCTTGTCCCACCACATACATCAAACAAACCAACAGAAGAATAAGTGCACGCATTGAAGAACATAAGAACTCAGTCAAAAAAGAGGAACCAACTTCTTCCCTGGTCCAACACCTTAAAATCACAGGACATGAAATTAACTTTAAAAAGACCAGAACTATCGCCAAAACTGAACACTTTAATAACAGAATAATCAGAGAAGCCATCGAGATAGAAAAACGCCCACACAGCATGAACAAACAAGATGATACGTCCTGCCTACCAGCCATTTGGAAACCCGCCCTTATTGACAAATGAGTCCCTAACACAAAAAATGACACCAGACCCACACTCACGAAAACCACACAGGATGTCACCACCACACATCCACACAAAAAGCAAACCCAAACCCACACCGATGATGAGGCACGACCACAAACCAGAAGCCAGACCACAGCTGCATTATTAGCCACTTTAAACCCCTCCAATCCATACATGAAGCAAACTGACACCCACCATGAAGATGAGGCACGACCACGAACGCGAAGCCAAACAATAGCAATCGCACATCCCCCTGCAACTCAGACTAACCTGAGCACAACAAAGCCCCCACCCAAACAGAACACTCCCCCAACCAATCAGAGCACAGCCAACCCCCCATCCAATCAGAGCACAGCCAAGCTCCTAACCAATCAGAACACACCTCCATCCAATCAGAACACAGCCAAGCTCTCATCCAATCAGTTCATATCCCCACTGGCAGTTAAAAGGAAGAAACAGCTACGATCACACATTGCTCCTCGAAGCACGAAGCTGAAAACACCAGCCTGAAGATGACAAATGAGACTTTGTCGATACGTTGTCGATACGATGTGGGAGAAAACCCGAATAACCAAAGACCTACATATACATATATATGTATGTATGTATGTATGTATGTATATATGTATGTGTGTGTGTGTGTGTGTGTATATAACACCCTGACGATGATGGCAGCAATATAGCCATCGAAAGCTAGGTTATTTATTTATTAAACATTTAATTGTTTTACCTCCTGGTGCTCGTTTTTATCTTTTGAATATGTATACATCCAGGAGACTACGTTCCTCAATTTTTATGTTAATTTTTAATGTTTATGGAAGAGCAGCTTTGCTCACTGCCAGAAAGTGGGAAAGACTCGCTCATCATATTGCGGACAACTACCGTAAGATAGCTTTCCTGCATGTTTGTATTAGAGAAGACCTTCCACCTAGGTCATTAAAGAGGAAGCCTATTGTTGATTCCTTCGAAGGCCGACGCGTCGTTCGCCAATTCCAGCATGGCATGATGCGGGCTCTTATTGGGGATTTACACAGATGTACTGGTGGCTTCATCAGATGTGCTCAGGATCATCGTGAACTGTGCCGTACTAGGTTCACAGACCAGCATTTTGCTGCATTAAACCACCATATTCAGCTGGTTTTTAACAACACAAGATTGCTTGCTACAAATAGACTCCAGGATAAGATTGAGGGATTACGAGAATTACGTAAGAACACTATTCCCTCTGAGAACCTTGTACATAACCTCTCTAGTAAGATACTTACCCACTCCCAACTTTCCCTTTTACAACGGGATGTGGGACACAACTTAACGGACGCTCGCGCGTTGGACTTTATGGCGGCGCTAGAGCCAACGTTACACCGTGTTGGTATGGAGGAGGTTGGAGATGACATCAGGCATCGTGTAGTGGGATTACTTATGAATCATTGACCCCACCAAGCTCTATCGAGGAATGAGTTGGAAGCTCTTACCCAGCTCAAGAAGGATGATGCAACCCTCATATTGCCAGCTGACAAGGGGAGAGCTACGGTTGTCATGGATAGAGCACATTACATCAGTAAGGCGTCAGGGTTGCTTGAGGACACTACAGCCTACAGGATTGTGAGTGGGGACCCCATGGTGACCCTTAAAAATCGAGTCAATAAGACGCTCAACGCCCTGAAACGAGGTAGAAGATTAGACGACGTAACCCTTTTGAGGATATGCCCTAGCGACACGGCGGCAGCTAGATTCTATGGGCTACCCAAAGTGCACAAGGAAGGGGTTCCCCTCCGCCCCATAGTATCTTTTAGGGGTACCCCCATGTCTGGTTTGACTAAGTGGCTGAGTCTTCGTATCGGCCACTTGGTCGCTGATAACCAGACGGTGGTAAGATCGGCAGAGGAATTCCTAGACAGGATTAGGTCCTTAAGGATAGAGGATGACGAGGTGATGGTATCTTTTGATGTCGTCTCCCTCTTCACCTCTATCCCACAGGACCTAGCCCTTGCGACCATTAAAGATCTTTTGAGTCGCAGGGGCTTAGGACAACACCAGGATTCCCTTCGCCCGGAAGATCTTGTGGACCTTTTGGGTTTATGCCTCAAGACCTACTTCACGTTTCAGGGTAACACCTATGAACAAATAAAGGGTACTCCCATGGGGTCACCCATTTCCAGCGTTATTGCCGAGGCTGTATTGCAGTGGATAGAACAAGTAGCGATGGCTCAGTATTGTCCCAAATTCTGGGCCCGCTACGTTGATGACACCTTTGTTGTCATCAAAAAGAGTCGGAAGGCTGACTTTGTGGGCATACTTAATTCGGTGTGTGTGGACTTGCAGTTTACGGAGGAGGAGGAACATCAAGGCAGGCTGGCGTTCCTTGACGTTTTGGTCCATTGCCAGCCTGATGGGACCCTTGCTACTAGGGTCTACCGCAAGCCCACGCACACCGATAGGATTTTGCATTTTAACAGCAACCATCCGGTGGCCCACAAGGT